CGATGTACATATAGTAAAACCCTTTAATTAAACGACAGGTTTAACACACAAAATTACTCCCTCAATCCCAATTATATAGGCTGAGTTTCTTTTTTGTCTTGTCACAAATATATAGGCATGTTTCCTAATGTATAATATTTTGTTGTGTTCCTTTACCAATATACCCTTAGTTCCAATAATAATTTAGTTTTACATACTGAAAATTAAATAAGGGTAAATTAGGAAAGATTTTAACAAAAATTAATTTTCCAATGATATTAAAAAAAACTTTCTTAATCAGTGTGAAAAACGAAACAAGCCTATATAATTGGGACGAAAGGAGTAATAACTTTCAAACCAGTGAATAAATATTGATCTAAAATCTCAATATTATTATTATTATGCTTACACATAAATCTTTTAAATATAAATACTACAATATTAATAAATTTGTCTCAATACAAGTTTAAAGCAATACAAAGTTCAATCATAAAATTTTAACTTCCGAAATTCTTTTTTTCAAAAATATCATTATAAAGCATTATTCCATTCAAGAGTCTATAGAAGCCAACTAATAAGTAAATTTGTTAAACTATAAAATGAATTCATGATTCATATATATTAGGTAAAACATGTTATTTTTTAAAAACAAATTGGTGAAATGTTCGTGTTGATTATAAGTAGTTTTTAACTATTAAAACCTAAATCAAACCGTTTCTAAATATTGTGGTTCGATTTTGAATCGAAATCTTGACAGGTCTACGTGGACCCAGACCAACAATTTAGAAATTGTGATTTTGATTCGAACTGTCGTTTATGAGATAACCTAGCATTAATTATTCAACTCACTAAAGTTGAATAATACTCTAGTTCCCAGACGAGAAAATTTTTAAAGTTTAGTTGTGCACTTGAATTTGAACTGAGATTGTACTCCCTCCGTCCCAATTATATAGATTGAGTTTTCTTTTTCTGTTATCCTAAATATATAGGCATATTACTTAATGTAGAATATTTTATTGTATTCCTTTACCAATATACCCTTATTAAATTTTCACCACTTAATATGTCAATTTCTTGAAATCATCCAAATACGCACATTTCTCACTTCTTGAAAACATGAAACAACTTTCATTTCTTCTTCAAATTCTTTATAATTTTCAACAATAATTTAATTTTACATACTGAAAATTAAATAGAGGTAAATTAGAAAAGATCTTAACAAAAATTAATTTTTCAATGACATTAAAGAAATTTTCTTAATCCGTGTGAAAAACGAAAACAAACCTATATAATNATTAAATAGGGGTAAACTAGAAAAAATCTTGACAAAAATTAATTTTCTAATAACATTAAAAAAACTTTCTTAATCCGTGTGAAAAACGAAACAAACCTATATAATTGGGACAGAGAGAGTATTTTTTTTTTCGTTTTGTTATTAATAAAATACCCCTTCATAAATTTACCACCAATTATTCCCGTACAACTTTTTAGTAGAAGGAAGGGTGTTCGTTCTATATGCATCATATAGAAATGATCTTCTACCCATGATGAGTACGAATTATCTTGTCCACTACTAATTTGATATATATATATATATATATATATTTTTTTTTTATTTGATTTATTTATTTATTATTTGTGTTGACGTAAAACCCGCAGCCGCTACTCGTCAGTGGAGCCCTAACTACCTTGATGGAGCGGAACTCTGACCACTGTGAGTGCGCAATAAGTAAACATCGCTCCATGTGCAGTAGCTCGCAAACCACACATGAGAGGTAAATCGCACTCGGCAAGCCCAGTGCGACGGGCTCGACCGAGAAGTGTTGACAGAAGATTCGAACTCGTGATCTTTGGTCTCCGCGTTCACCTACTTACCAACTCAGCTACCCCTGAAGGGGTATCAGTGAGCATGTTTTATTCTACCGAACATGAGTCGGAGATCATTTCTAAGTTGAAAAAGAAAAAAAATGAAATAAACAAGTCCTTTATTTCATGATGCCAAATTACCAATACATAAGTAGATTTGAAGACACTGTCTATAATACTCAACAAAATCTGGACAAAATAAGAATGAAAACAGTAACCAATTTCTCTTATTGCTAATTCATTTATAGGAATCTTTAAGCACCTTAGATCACCTCGAAAATTTCTGAGTAGAATCAGTTTCCGTCACGAGGTTCTAATTTGATTTGCAGTATTGTCCGTAGGCACTTGAGTCGAAACCTGTGATAACATTACTGCAGCTGCCGGAGTCATAGTATGGTATTGAGAAGGCACCGGAGGCTGTTGAGCATAGTATACCTGCTCGTTTGCCAGATGAGAATATTCAGGCGCATAATTAGCAGTGGCGGGAGCAGCAGTAACAGTGGACTGTGATTGATTAGGAATTTGAGAAACACCAATGTACTGTTGATGAAATTGATGGGACGGAACTTGAACTAACATTGGACTGCCTGTGGCCATGGTTCTATAAATATTTGAAGCCATCTCGGGTTTTGACATGGTGGTTGCCGCTGTCGTTGGATAGGCAGATGGGATGGTTTCACTGTAAGTTGCACCAGAAGGAGCCATATGGTTGAGAGGAGGTGTTAATGGTCTACTCGAGGCAACAATAGTAGAATCAGCAATATTAGATGGTACAACTCCACTCAAATTGTAAGGCTGAGATTGATTAACGGGCAATAAGTACATCTGATACTGTGGATCGGTTTGAAGGGGTTGCTGTGTTTGAGGCAAATACATTGGATAGTATGACGACAAAGGCAGTGGATTTGCAGCGGGATGGGGGATATAATGTGCGCCAGGGTGTATAAACTGTTGATTCTGATGTAGAGTTGGGATTGACAAGGAATCGGAAAATTGCTGCACGGGATACTGAGGGGGTGGATCTTGATTGGTGGTGTTGTGATCAGTCATGGGGGTGGGAACTCGGTTTTCCATGCTAGCAAGTTGAGTTGCATCTTGGTATATTGTATGATGCTGAGAGAGGGATGGAGCCGATGCAATACTACTATCACTGCACAAATCAGTCAATTAAATTACAAAGTTGAAATATAAACTAGAAGCAGCAAAAAAGTGAAGTACATGTATCTCGAATCCAATTTTCCTGGCCTCTAGTGGGGACAAACGAGCACTGAAAATGAAAGTCCAGGGATCTAAAGAGAAAAATGATTGGGGACCCGTAGACCCGTATACTTCATATGTCAAAGTTTGAGGACCCTGGATGCAAATGTCCTTTTGAAATAGCAAAAACAACTTCCATCTAAAATCTCCAAGCATGAACTTTCCTTTAGATCATGGAAAAAGTAAACATTGTTTGAAGATTACAAGCTTCAAACATCATTAAAATAGCCAAAAACTATACAATTTGATCTCCAATCGTAAGCTCCATCACGACTTTTGTAAATTCTCGCTGATGTGATGAATTCCATTATCTCAGGCGTTGCTAATTCAGATTGAAGTTTTTACAAGTTCTACTTCAAGAAAATTAAGAGTTGTGAGATTATATGATGAGGAATTTATCAAAAAAGGCTCGGCTTGAACAAAGGTCTCACTTATACAGGCTTCTTTAACTAACCCTGTATTCATAAAATCCTAGCATACTCTCATCTTCTTCATCGTGTCCTCTTCTTCCTCATCTTGTCCCTTTATCCCAACCAATCTAGGCTTCCTATTTCACCCTCCCCCTTCATCCACTAAGTCACCTCTTCCCTCCCTACTTAATTTCCTTCCCTCTGTGTTGCTGGGGCAATATTTAAGAAAAAAGGGGTAAATTTTGTATCAACGGCGACCAGGATGGATCAAATTGATTAGTTCGGGATCGATTTGATTAGTTTAAAATATATATTTTAGAGTAATAACATTTAAGATTACTTGTAAAAAATGCATGGCTTAAAATTATTCCCTCCTTATAATTAAGACTTGATATGTAATTTCTTAGCAGTAGTTATCAGATAAATAATCGATTAGGCAAAAGAAACTGTAAAATTTGAAGGAAAGACTTGATCTTTATTAAGTACCTTGCAACAGAGTCCGGCGATGGTAGGCTGTACCCTCCGGCATGCTTTGAATCCGGCGATGGTAAATTGTATACATCAACAAGCTTTGGTTGCACCGGTTGCAGTGGCAATGGTGGCTTCCGAAGCCTAGTTGGGGCCCCGTGATCTGATTTTTCATTGTCCGATATGACCCGACTAATATGTTGAGCGGTGACAGCGGTCGTGTTCTCCCCAGCAACCGATGACACAGTGGTAGCGCCACCAATAGCTGAATAAGTCGGTGGTGGTGCATTTGGAGCAATACTCACATGCGATAATTGTTCATCCAATCCAGCCATCTGATCATGAAATCTCGCATTATCATTTTCAATTCCAACTTTAATTGGAGGCAGATTTGACATAGATGGGGATGAAGAACTCGACCCGAATGATGAACTTGTTTCAACCATAGGAGAATCAGGCAAATTTGAATGTACCTGTTTGTTAAAACCCAAAATCTTGTTTTGGGGATCTAGATTTGCAGAAGAATCACTCTTCTGAATCCCATCAAGTTCAACCATATTATCAACGGCGGCAGAATCAGATAGCCCTCTAGGAAGCAACCCAGTACCATTCAATGCATCGACAAACCAAGTTTCTGATTTAGCATAGTCGAGTAAAGAGCCCATAGAAGCGGCGGTTTCTGGCATGGAAGGGAATAGAAAGAGACGGAGACGGGAGGGTTTCGACGGCGATGCGGCGGTGGTGCGGTCATATTCTTCAATCATATTCTCCAAGTCTTCGTCAGTGGAGACTAAAATAAGAGAATCCAGTTCTTCATTTGGGAGCTGATATTTGAGGGTGAAGTGGCGGCCATTAAGGAGGGAATGAGAGAGGCGGGAAAGGAAGTCTTCCAGTGAGGAGCGGCGGTCCACCACCACAATGCGGGTGTCTCCGCCAATGTAGCAGAGGGACTTGTCATGGGGACGAGGGATGATATGGCCGCCGTAGCTGCACATGAGGCGGAGCTTGGAGTCGGGGACAATTGGTAGAGGCTCATCCCAAGTGTCGTGACGGGAGCGTGGGGAAGAATTGGCAGAATCTGGCTGGTTGGTGGCGGCGGCGGCAGATTCGAGTGGTGCATTGGTGGTGGGAGGCGGTGGCAAAGGTGGCGGTGGATCCATTGGGAATTTGGATTGGTAGAGTCCAGTAAAGTGCAAATGCCAAACGGGGTTGAAAAGTAATGAAATGAGGAGGTTGAGGATAATTTAGTCCTTTTATATTTGAATATAGACAAACGTAAGCTAGCATGCCCATGAGGATATGTACAGTAAAATTTGAATTTTTATAATAACAAAGTAAACGAGCTTTCGTTTGATGTCGATATTTTCAAAATATATTTTTCTTTCGAATAATGTTATTTAGCCTTACTGAAATTATAATCCCAACCTATATGGTATTAGGTAATATGCTAAATGAATGGTTCAGTTATCATTTAATGATATGTTAGTACCACACATACTGAGGTTAAAATCTAGTACTAGTATGACTGAAGCTCTGTTTGAGCCACCACTTTGTAGAATAAGAATGAAAAATATAGTCGTTATTGGGCCCCACACAAGAACCACACATACTGAGGTTAAAATCTAGTACTAGTAGTCTAGTATGACTAAAGCTCTGTTTGAGCCACCATTTTGTAGAATAAGAATGAAAAATATAGTTGTTATTGGGCCCCACACAAGAGAAAAAAAAATTCAAAATTGATGTTTTGATGTGATGGATAATGGTCATATTTTTCATTTTATGGATAAAAAAATATGGCTCAGACGGGGGCTAAATAGCATTACACTTTTCTATCCTTAATTTTCAATCACAAACTCTTCAATAAAATAATATTACACGTAAATTTAAAAAAAAATCTTATTTTTTAAAACTATATATCACTATTTCAAAACGCATTTTTGTCAAATAGTGGGACTCAAACAGGCTCTTGGCTCTTGTTTATATATATACACACATACTTAAGTTACTTTTTATTATAATAATTTTGAGTGATTCACAAGTAATATTTATTTATTTATTTATTTATAAACATTTTTTGAATATGCTTTTAGAAAAGTGTAGTTTTTAAACTCGACTTGACCTTTGATACGGTCAAAATGTAGGCCAACGTATTAGTTTGATTTCATTTCGATAACATTATTCACTTAGTTTAAGATTTTGGAAAGGATTTCATCCTTATCTAGGTCTACAAAATATGTGGTTTTATTGTTTTCTTTAAATGTCGATATCTTGACCAGTTGCAACTATGCCATCGATTATCAATTGTAATGTTGTTAACCTTAGTTCGTACGACCATGAGAAAATATGCTTGCAACCCAAATATGAGAATAAATAAATACATCTCGTACATTTATTTATTTATTTGAATTATATTTTAGTAACTTCCGTATAATTATTGCAAAGTGATTCGAGTTGCACGTTCAATGAGACATCGTCCACATGAATGTGATTATTATTTTTATGTCCTTGTGATGACGGGAAGTCAAAGCAATCCTCAATTCAATAAACTTTTGCTTTGAGCTTTCCTTAAGATATGCGAAGTTTGTACTTTGTATTAACAATAATGCTCCTCGAATAGGGCAAATGAAGGGGGGAGTTGACAGGGAGGAGTGGCAGGACGGGATTGTGTGCTCTTTTTTTTTTTTCCCTCAAATTGTCCAATCATATATTGACATTGTCCCCTCTGTCATTGATTCTGTCGTTGAGATTGTCACTATAGCAATATTGCTGTATTAATGAGCTAGAAACCCAAGAGAGTACATTTTGGCATTTTGCATACTACTACTTTTAAAAATGAGTTAAAATAGTGGACACGGGGCATTAGCATGGGTAAACACACATTTTCTTTGTTAATTTGGATCGTTCTTGTGATAGCATTGCGTCGATTGTACTTTTCTGCCAAGTAGGTCGAGATAAAATGTATGACTCGAAATAAGTAATATTAGAGGTCGTTTTTCAAAAAGATTTGGACGAGGTTGAGTCGATATTGTTAGGCCCACAAATTCGTTGACTTCCCATTATAGAGTAGTAGTACTAGACGATTGACAAACTTTAGCACGTTGAATGGTTCCAGTTGCTAGCATTTTGACTTGATATTTTTCTAATTAAAATATGATTTTATTTGTTTATTTCAGATATTATATCACTTTTAGAGTGTGTTTGATTGATATGGAAAATATCTCATAAAAAAGAAAATGTTTTTCTCTTTTTAAGGAAAATAAAAATCCACTTCTCCCAAAGAAAATGTTTTCTTTAAAAATAAGAAAAATAGACATTTTCGAAAGTTGCATATTTTCAATGGAAAAAATAACAATTGAACATTCCAAAGTAAGAATTTGGATGGAAACTGACATTTTTCATGAAAAATAAATGCAATCAAATGCAAAGCGATCGTTGTAGAAACATAATATGAGAAACGAGCAAAAAAGAGATACAAATTAAACATGGTTCAACAAACCGTCACACCCACAAAATTAATAAGTCAATAAACTTCTCGACTTTCTGAACTCTCTCAACTTCCGCGTACTCAAAATCCAAACTAAAGCATTCAACTTCTCCCTACTTAAAATGAAAACTTGGTTATTTACGTTTAAGTAAACTATTTAAGCTCATTCTTGTAAAGAAATGGATTTGTCATTATTTATGAATATTATCTCATAAAGAAAATGGATTTTACCAAAAATTTGAGAGACATTTAATTGTTAATCTGTTGTTATAGCCACAAATCTAGGTGATTAACAGACGCTCCTTTTCTCTTGTTGAACCATTCCCTTCCATGCATAATTATTCAAAGTTCCTAATAATAATTTTTACCAGGCTATTGCATGTGTTTCTCAAGGACACGTTTGTGGGATTTGAGTCCTTCTGGTGATTCTTTCCTGGTAATTCTCTTTCACGAACACATAGAAAAGAAATTACTCGGCGTGAGAATGTTTTATAAAATGGTTGCATGATGTGGACGTGTTTCATATGAAAAATGTTTTGTCATCCCTATCCTATGGCATTGAAGGCATTTGATTTGATATGGTGCTACCAGTGGCGGTGGGAGGGGAGTGTCGACCGCTCCCAAGGCTGGCCCCGAGATTGGGGAAAGAATTAAGCTCCTTTTACATATGAAATATACAGAAAGCGTTATAGATGATGAGGTGGCAATATTGCAGTGGCTGGTTTAACTGTGTTTTTTGTCTAAGATTCAATAAAATCTTGCGAGCTGACAATCTGTCAAAACATTTTTGTACATGTAGCATGATTGTTGTGGAAAAGCCTTATGCCAAATTTTATAATTGACTCTTCTCTGTTTAAGCATGGGGATGATCTGCATTGATATGGGCATAACACGGGCATGATTTGAATCGATTTCGTGTCATTTTTTTTACACCAGTTTCTCTTTTTGTAGATTATATTATCAAAATGCCAGAGGTTCAGTTTCTAGGGCACACCATAAAATCCCATGGGTCGAAGCTCCTTCGTGTCCACATGCACGACTGGTTGATCCTCCTCGTGCTCGCAACAATAGATGCCGGTTTAAATGCAATTGAACCGTTTCATCGTTATGTCAGCTCCGATATGATGACTTATCTAAAGTATCCCTTGAAAATACCAGACACTGTGCCTATGTGGGCTGTTCCGGTATGTTGTATCTTCTAACTAGTAGAAATTCTTACGTGGTATGAAAAACCTATTTGTGCAATACTTTTGGAATAATGCTATCTAGCATCACTGATGTTAGAGTATCAGTCTATGTTGCATCATTCAATAGGCAAAAATGCATCTTGTTAGACAAGTCGGACTTTTTTTTTTTTTTTTTTATTCATCCCAAAAAATGAAATTTGTAGCCGTTGGAGGACCACTTTTCAAGGCTTTTGTGTGATAAAAGTCAAAAATGACGGTGCCCAACGGTCATATTTTTTCTGAAAATGGGCAGCAAAATGGAAAACAGACAGGCTGTAAATATATCAATTCTGTCAACCGCGACGGCATTTCAAGGAAGACAGAATGCCTAAACTGAAACAAAAACGAAGTTCATTGAGTAACTAAAGTGAAGCCACGATATAAGTTGAGTGACTAATTTAACACTGATTAGTTTTTATATGTCCCTTTTCAGATATTTGCTGTACTTTTGCCCTGTGTCATATTTCTCTTTCATTATTTCTACAAAAGGGATGTTTATGATTTGCACTATGCTGTTTTGGGTACGAGTTTCTTCGTCGTTTTTGCATAAATCCTGCTGAGGTATATCTCATGGAATGGCTAATTCGTTCGATATGGACATTTATAGGTCTTCTATATTCTGTTCTGGTAACTGCAGTCGTCACGGATTCAATAAAAGATGCTGTTGGACGACCGCGTCCCAACTTCTTCTACCGGTGCTTCCCTGATGGTGTAGGGGTGTGTAGCCTCAACAAGCTTCACGGGAAATCTTGTCGTCATCGTCGATTTTTAACAGTTTGATGTTCTTACAGCATGGTTTAACTTGTTTAAGAATGTTTCATTGCGTACGTCCAGGTATATGATCCTCTGGATGGGGATGTTATGTGCACAGGAGACATGAAACTTGTGAAGGAAGGTTATAAAAGCTTCCCGAGTGGGCATTCCTCTTGTAAGTAGCTTGACCATTTGATTTATAGATTATCACCTTATCTTTCCATGTATTACTAGTTAATTGGATAGAAATGAGAATATGCAACCAACAAGTGCTTGCTTGGCTAATCTTCCAAGGATTGTGCTTACGAACAATGGATCCCACTGAATATGTGGTTAAAAAGTAGGTAAAAGTTTTTTGTTCTTTGAAATATGTAAATAAAAATAGAGTTTGAGTACCTTATAAGCACGGGAAAACTTTGCCAAATACTCCAAGCCCATGTTTGGGAGCCATTTTGGCCCAATTTTAATACAAAACGTGACCGCTTGTATTTGTCGGTGCGACCCACTTTTGCATTAAGTTGACTGCGAACCAGTTTACCGAATTGCCATTATTTACATAAGAACGAATTTTACGTGTAGGGGCAAATTGATAATTTTACATCATTTAGTCAAAAAGTTTGTGCCCTTCCTTGACACTAACATGGTGTAACGTCTATACTTTAGCTAAAAAGTGGATGCAAAATGGGCATCAAACAAG